AGCCCGAACAGGAGAGGAGGTGTGGCAGCGGGTGAGGTGGGTCCACACTTCACAGAGTGCAGAGCGAGCAAGTCCGGGGCCTGGAGATACTGCTGTGGTCGACTTCCGGGACACTTTCTCAGTCTGGGTTGGGTCAGTCCTTTCCCTGTTTGTGCCTGATCTCCAGAGCGACCGTCGCCTCCTACGGTCTGGCCACGAACACGCAACTCCACCCTCTGCTTCTGGACAAGAGGGTCTCTTGTTCAAGGTTCCCAAGGGCAGGAAACAGGGCCGGGGCGAGAGGCTTCCTCTCAATGACTCCCACCTCCAGCACAGAGAAAGTCCGCGCCATAGGAATGACGGAGCGAGGCCATGCTGTGTGTCAGGGCACCGGGGCTGAGCCTGGGGCTCGGGACGGACAGACCCTTCTAGGGATGATGCCACAACCCTGGGAAGAATGAAGGCCTGGAAGAAGAGCTGACTGGGAAAAGGATGGGAGGGAAGGAAGAGGAATGTGAAGCCTTGAGACCGGTGGGAAATGACACCCTGGGGGCCCCACCCCACAGAGGTCCCTGTGCCTGTAGAACCTGCCCGAGCACCGAGATCGGCAGGCAGTCCTCAGAGACTGGCTTCCAGGAGCTTCCCCAGTAGCTGACCCGTTCCAGGCACACGGCGAGCCCGTCGGCCTCACGCCAACCCCACCGAGGGCTGCGGGGCCAGGGGCCCCCAATTCATGACGCGCAGCCTGTGTCCTAAGCCATGGTTTCAAAAAGCTCGTCTTTCCACCGGGATCCCGTAAGCTCGGCCCACAGCTGGGGACCACGCACTGACGGTGTGTTCTGTTGAGGGGCTGCCTTCGTTTTCCACCACACCAGCGTGCACAGGACCCCTCCTTGGGGCTCAAACTCGGGGTTCGTGTCTGAAGGACGATCTTCTACGTAAACACTTCCAAGGACAGCGGTGTCCTAAGCGAATGGCATCGGCGTCTTTAAGGATCATAACTCACTTCTTCTGGCAGATCTTTTTTTTTTTGAGAGAGGGAGAGAGAGAGAATGAGCAGGGGAGGGGCAGAGGGAAGAGGGAGACACAGAGTCCAGAGCAGGCTCCAGGCTCCGAGCTGTCAGCGCAGAGCCCGACGTGGGGCCCGAACTCACGAACCGCGAGATCACGACCTGAGCGGAGGTCACGAGTCAGGCGCTCAACCAACTGAGCCCCGCAGGGGCTCACAATCTGAACTTCTAATGAAATGATTAGGGCCCTCACCATGCTGACCTACTTCCCTTTGAACTCGATTCAGTCCCTTACTCTGCTCCAATCTTCTCTGGGTGCAAGACCCCCATCCGGCTCCCTGGGTTTACCACGATCACCAAGTTGAAGGTGGCTGCTGCTGGAGTCCGGGTCCAGCCTGAGGGGAGCGTGAGCAGCAGACACGCGCACTGTAAGCACACGTCTGTGCCAGTGACGAGAGCCACAGGGCGACACGTGGGTTGCGAAGGGGCCGCTGTGCGGCCCCACCCGGTACCTGTCTGAATTCCCCATGTTTCGTGCATCCTCAAGCCCGGTGCTCTCAAACCCCCACAGCTCACCCCATTATGGAAGCATCACCTCATTAGAATCCCATGCGCAGAAAAACATGCCAGGTTCCTTTTTGGTAAATAAATTACCTAACCATCGAAAGTCAGGGGTACACGCCAGCAGCTGGCCCGGTGACTCCACTGCTGAGAAACACTGAATCTTTTTTTTTTTAATTTTTTTTTTTTTCAACGTTTATTTATTTTTGGGACAGAGAGAGACAGAGCATGAACAGGGGAGGGGCAGAGAGAGAGGGAGACACAGAATCGGAAACAGGCTCCAGGCTCTGAGCTGTCAGCCCAGAACCTGACGCGGGGCTCGAACTCACGGACCGCGAGATCGTGACCTGGCTGAAGTCGGACGCTCAACCGACTGCGCCACCCAGGCGCCCCTTGAAACACTGAATCTTTTAGAAAACTCTATCTAAATACACGAGATGGTTTAGCCGGGTTCTTTTCCTTTGCTCCCTGGAGAGACGCGGGCTGTAGGCTATGCTATTTCAGCTCAGTGCGGACACCCTGCCGGGAACCAGTAATAGGGGTGATGGTCAACGGTAATGAAACCCAAAGCCACCAATCTGGGCAGATTTCTCCAATATTTCACCCACTGGCAGCAGATGCATCCCTCGTGGGTTCCAGCCATAGTACAGCCCGGGGGCAACTGAGAAAGCGGGTGTTACAGCGTGATCAGTTTAACTGGTATCACTGCCTTCTAGCACCTTTGGCGTTTCCTACACTAAAATAATGGGGACGTTCTATACGGCCTACAATTTTAAGACTTGATTTTGCGACACACCCTGCGTGCTCCCCAATGTCTTTTGAGAAAAAGTCTGGCCTCTGCCCGTGGGCGTTCCCTTGATGGGTCTTCCCGTCGTGAGCCAAAGAATGCCAGACTCACTCCACCGTGAGGGATCTGCAGCTCTCTAGCAACTTGGAAGAGAACACCTACCCGGAACTCACTTCCTCTCCAAATTTCCAAAGCTTGGTTGTGACAGTATCAGAGGAGGGTTACAACGAAGGCCGTGCCCTCTCTCCCTGCTCTAGTAATTCAAGTCCATCCCTTGGTGACCCTGCCCCCTTGGGGGGTGGTGGGGCGTGTGTATTTGCATCAATAATTTCAGTTCCCGGGAGACCGGCATTAATGGAATTGCACTTTAAAACGACTGGCTCTCGCTTGCCATGTAATTATAAAACAAAGCCCTGCTGAGCTCCTCTTCCGTACTCCGACAACATCCACGCATACACACGTATTGAAGAAGAAAAAGGAACTGGCAAACACGGAGGGGTCACCACAAGAAGCAGCCCATGTGGGAATATTTTCGAAGACGGAATGGTGATGACATTTACGGAGAGGCTGGGATGGGCAGGGACATACCGTTGTGACACGTTTCCCCCTTGGCAAGAAGGAGCAAACGTCCCTCTGACCAAGCCTGAGCTTGGCTGGCGAGCGTAAGGTGGCCTGAAATGCTCATCGGTCAGACCCCACTTTTTACTGGTCGGTGAGTCTGCGGCAAGAAGGATATTTGGATTACTCTTCTCTCTCTGACTAACATAAAGCAACTGGGGCAACAGTCAGACCTCCTGTGCTCCCTGGCAGGGTCTCCGGAAGAAGGGAGCCAGGTAGAGGGCAGCTCCCCAGCGGATGGGGCCGAGCTGGGGAGAGAGGGGCAGACCCAGCACTATCCTGGCGCTCCCATGCAGGCGGGCAGCGGGCTGCAGGCTGCAGGAGACGCGGGAATGGTCACAGGCAGGCCTCCTGGGACTGGCACGAAGTCCCTCTGATTGGGAGGCCACCCAGAGAAGCAACCTGAATCTATTCCCAAATAAGCCAAAATAAGGCAAGCGCAAGGGAATCCCCTCAGTACAATGAAGAATTTATAGCTCTGGAGTCTTTGGAATGGTTAAAGCATGGGAGGCGTCCCCATCAACATCAGAAATAAGTCAGAGATGCCTAACGAAACACCCGTTTTTCAACATGCTCCTGAAAGGTAAAGGCAGAGCTGTAGGACACAAAGGAGAAGAAAGGAATTCACCCCAGGAAGCAAATTAAACAATAAGGATGCCCCTCGTTACTTATCCTAGTGGAATATCATAGATACATTACTGTGAAGGTAAACGTTCACCCGCGTGCAGGGTAAAAGCCCTCTGGTTTCCTGCCAGAGGAGAAAAACTAGTAACTTTCCAGGAGTCTGGCAACATATGCCCAAAAGCCATGAGAGGGCGAGACTCTTCAACTAAGGAAGCCGATTGCTGGGCATCAGGGGGAACACAGGTAAAGGCAAAGAGATGTCAACAGAGGACACGGATTAGAGTTACTCAAAACATTAAAAGTAATTCAAAGGAAACATGCCCGTTTTGGAGACACTGTTAGACTGATGAGGGCACATCCCCACGACGGATGTCACGGAACCGTCAACAATGGTGGCACACGAGTGTATTTGCTGACATGGGGACGTGCACGTGATCTGTCATCATCTAGGAAGGTGGACCCCAGACAGCGAACACAGGGTGACTGCGTGGTTGTGGGAGGAAAAAGCACATACGCATAGAAATGGCTGGGAGTGTATACCCCAAATGCTAGGAGTCATGTTCCCCAGGTGGCCCTCTGGGAATGATTCTAAATCTTCTTCAATGCCCTTATGTCTAACTTCTGGTTCATAACTGTAATTTTTCAATGCAAAGCTTAACACAGTGATATAACCAAATGAGCTATATAGTGTAATCTCCACATTGACCTACCTCAAGACAGATAATCATGCAAGATTCATGGCATGTGTTGTTATAGAAATATCATTAGCGCCCCATCTTCAGATTTTATCAAAGCTTTCTAAAGCCTTGCACTTTCCCGCCAAAGTGACATTGATTCTGCTTTTTAATCCATCTTCTAGAAATCGCCAACATAATGCACTTTACATGAACACATGTAGAAAGGGGGCTCTTACCTTACAATATGTGCTCTTGTCTGACAATAAAAACTGAGTCACGAACTGCGCTTAACTTACTGTTTTTCTCTGCTGCTCAGAGCCGATTCCTGGGTTCCAGTGCAATCATTTCCTTTATTCTAGATTTGCAGATATAAGCTCTCTTGTCTCTTTTGCTACCTGCTCTTGTCTTTTTACTTCCATTTAAAATTTCACTTCACCTGTCCCTTTTATTGTAACTCCTCGCTGAATCAGAGAGCCAGAGATTGGCTTGTTAGGAAGGGGAAGAGAGAGACATGTGGTCCGATGGAGAGAGCGAGGGGCATTTTCTTTATCTCGTGATGGAGTAGGAGACCCAATGCTACTTTAACTTCAAATGGGGGCCAGAGGCCTGACGCTATGGGGACCCCCAGCCCCCAACACACACACACACACACACACACACACGCCCAGCGTGTGAGCTGAGTTCTGGGCCTGACTGAGCCAAGGGGCCATACTCACATGTAAACTTGGGTGATAGGTCAGCACGCCGTTGTCACACAGGGTGACGTATTTCTTCTTCCACTCCTTGTTCAAAGATTTGCCGCTTCGCTTCAGCAGCATGCCCTGAAGCAAAAGGAGCCAAATATAAATTCACAAAGTCTCGTGTGAGTTTTCTTAAAAAGCAGACAGATAACGTTAACAATCTGAAACATTCATTTCTCTTGTCATCTCAAAATGGAAACTTTACACTTATTTTTCACTTGGCAATTTGGCTTTTCTCCTCTCCTTTACGCACAACACATATGTTCAACCAGTTTGTGTGTGTGTGTGTAGAACTTCACTTTGGGAATCTCATGAGTGCTGCAGAGGGGACCGTTTGTTCAACAAATACGATACCAACCGCCATGAAGCCACCGTGATGTATGTGCCCCACACCCTTCCCATAACTAAGTGCATTTGGAACTAAAGGTATGTTTTATTTATTTATTCATTTATTTAAAAAATTTTTAAACGGTTTTATTTATTTTTGAGACAGAGACAGAGCATGAACGGGGGAGGGTCAGAGAGAGAGGGAGACGCAGAATCTGAAGCAGGCTCCAGGCTCCAAGCTGTCAGCACAGAGACCGACGTGGGGTTCAAACTCATGGACCGTGAGATCATGACCTGAGCCAAAGTCGGACGCTTAACCGACTGAGCCACTCAGGCGCCCCAAGGTATGTTTTAAAAAAGGAAACCTAAGTTCCTTTTTCTAAAAATAACACATTAACTGAATTCTGAAACTTATGATATTTACAAATAAGCACATCTAAAAAGTTTTTTTAATGTTTATTTATCAGAGAGAGAGAGAGAGAGAGAGAGAGAGAGAGAGAGATCATAAGTGGAGGAGGGGCAGAGAGAGAGGGAGACACAGAATCCAAAGCAGGCTCCAGGCTCTGAGCTGTCAGCACAGAGCCCACCATGGGGCTTGAACCCACGAACGCAAGATCATGACCTGAGCCCAAGTCGGACACTTAACCCACTGAGCCACCCGGGCTCCCCCAAATAAGAACATTTTGTTTTATAGTTTTTCATTTCGGATTTCTAACTTACTAAAAACAAAATTCCACTTGTAAATTTAGTGGCAGGATTTAACAGAACAATTGTGTATAATCAATCTGCCTTTAATGAAATCATGTTAGGGCTTCCTGAAAACCATTAGGAATTTGATGCCCTTGCGCTCTGAAGCATGTTTAACAAAGGCTCCCTGGATGACTGAAGGAGCTCCCTCCTGCTTGAATGCTCAGTTCCCCGCGAACCTCCCACGTCTTCTCTTGGCCTCTCTGGGTTGAAAACCGGTGGCCAGCGCTGAGCTCGGCCTTGACTTTGCGCTTTCCCTCCCTGGTGGGGCTTCATGCCCTCCCGGGTCGGACCATCTCGACTCGAGCTTCCGCACTGGGACCGTTCGGCTCCTGACCTCGTGGAACAAGGAAGACTGGAGAGTCTCCCGGCTTGCTCTTCCTCCCCAAGTCCACTTTGGAACTCACGGGATGGAAACCACGACTGAGAAGGCCCAAGCATGGTGCGAGTTAATTCACCCAGACCAAGGCCCAAGGCCGGTTCTCGGTATGAAATGGAGTCTCCTAGAAGCAGACGCCCGAGTCTCCTGGGGAACTGGGACCTGCTTCCTCCGACCTCCTAACTGACGCCGCTATCCCCCCAGAGCCACAGCGCAAGAAAAAATCCAAGAAACTATCACGTAAGCACTTTTAGGCGATAATTAGGATCGAGCTCCAAATAATTCCTGATACTGTGACAATACTGCTTTGTCTCTGAAATTTCACCACCGTGATGGATGCTGAGCCAGCTGGGGGGTCCGGACACTGGTTAAACGTCGTTTCTGGAGGAAAGTACTCCTAAGGTTGAAGAAACGCACAAGGGAACCTTGCTGGAAGGTCATTTCTTTGCGGGTTCTTCTTATTTGAAGAAAACACAAGGCAAAGCTCAACGTACCTTGATTTCTTAGGCCCTACGAAAAACCAACCTAATCCAAATATGGCACGGGGATCAGCAAACAGAAGCCGGATGCTGGTGACAAACCAGGGCGATTCAGGTCCCACTGCACAGTGAGCACCAGGCAGAGGGCAAGTCACTACTGGTGATTCGAAGGTCAACAAGCCATCACTTAAAATCATTAAATTTCCCTCTCCGGCGGATTTCTCAGATTTTTAAACTTAGCTCAACAGAACTTCACAGAGGCTCTCCTGTGGGCTCACATTTTCCCAACGCCCGTTTGAGATGTAATTCTAATACCAGGCGCAGGGGTCACCTCAGTGTCACTGGCAGCTGAGAGGGGTTCTGGGCTTCAGCGAGCTCTGGCCCGCCCCACGCAGACAAAGACAGAGAGGCACCCCGTCCCCGGGGCTCCATGCACACGGACCCCACCGCTCCTGGCCAGCTTGTGGTACTTTCGTGAGCAGATCCTACATGCACGATTATCCTCTCCCCAGTGAGGGCTGTCGGGACTTCCTCCTAAGGGGGTAAAGGGAAATAGTCCAACCAGGAGGTGACGAGAGGAGATGACATTGTCAGGGAACTACCCCAGGTAGACTGATCTTGGGGCTGGGAAAGCTAGAAAACGCACGTCTCGACAATCTTTAATAAATTCTACGGCCCACCTTGCAGGGTAATCCTCTCTGCCTACGGTTCAAATGCTGCAGGAGTCAGCAGGGCTGAAGAACACCCCGGCGTCCGAGGAGCCGTGCCTCTGTCCTCCGGCCTGGGCCCCGGCTGGGTTCACTGCCCGGCCCCCCCGGGATTTCTGTGGCGACAAAGCCACCCGGCCGCCCCGCTGCCCCCAAGTTAGGGCCCGCCAGCCCTGGACTGTGTGAGCCTCCACGTTTAGCCAGAACACTGGAGGGGCTGGTCGCCGCACCCCACCTGTCTGCGACTGTCAGCAAGGGCCCATCCTAAGAGGCGCCAAGAGACACGCGCTCTACGATGAGCAGCCAAGGAGGCTGCAAGGCGAGGCTTTGTAATCAGAGGCTCGATCGGACGACGAATGACAAGGCACTGCAAACAGCTTCAGTGGATCAAAAGCACGTTTTCTCTCAGTTTCTCCCCTTTTTTTTT